ATGATGTGCAACAGAGCAGGCCTAACTGCACTGCTATCCTTTGAAAGGTCTGCTTACAAGGCTGGCCCTTGGCTGGCAGTTCTACTCTGTCCTATAGGGTCGCTATGAGTCGGAATCGACCCGACAGCAACGGGTTTGGTTTTGGTTTGGTGTCTCGGAACCTGGATTCTGGGAAAGGTCCCACCACTGTAACAGATAAAAGAAGCTCACTGTGCCCAAATGGACTGTGCAAACAAGGTGGCTTATGCTGAACACCCGCTGTTCTTCTGGGAGTCTGGAATTCTGGCACGTGCCAGGCAGAGAGTGCCTATGTCACCAGCCCCCAGTGAAAACCCTGGGCGCTGAGTCTCTAGTGAGCTTCCCTGGTAGACAACACTTCACACGTTGCTGGAGGAATTAGTTGCTGAAGGAATCAGCACATGGCGTGTGGCTCCAGTGGGAGGACACCCTTGGAAGACTGCTCCTGGTTTCCCGTAGACTTCACCCCATGTGGGTTTTCCTGTGATGATTCTGCCTTACAGCCTTTCACTATAATAAGTCTTAGTTCTGAGTACGTCTATGAAAGTCCTGTGATCCAACTAGTAAACCAACAAATCTGGGGGGTGGTCTGAAAGATGCCAGACAACTATAAACAGATAATCAGGGGAGCACAAAGGCTGGAAAGACAAATACAACAAAGGCCCTCACCTCGAGGAACTACAGCTCAGGAGGCACAGGTAAGTGTGCCCACAGGGAGGCACCAAGGCCTTTTCCAGGCACCCCTGCCTTCCATCTCCATGGCACCACCCTAGTCTAAGCTACTCTCATTTATCTTCCGGATGACACAGGCAGCCTAACTGGCCCCTCTGCTCCCATTCTTGCTCTGTAACAATCTTTCAAAAATGTAAACTGAATCATACTACTCCCAAGCTTAAAACCCTACAAAGCTAGGACTGGCTTTAAACTCACAGGTGAGAAACGTGATTGAGGTACAGAAGAAACAAGACTGGCCATAAACTGGCAATTGTTGAAGCTGGACGGTAAGGTAGATGGAGTTCCGTAGGCTAGTTTGTCTGCCTTTATAGTTTTCCCTAGTAAGAAGCAAACAAAAGAAAAAAAGACCAACATCTAAAAAAGCACTCAGTATAAAACTGAAGTGCCCCACCATGGCCCATATGGCCGTGCACCTGGGCCCCCTGCCCTTGCTCATGTTTTCTATCTGCCTGTGGTTCTCTTTTTAAAACTTGCTCCTTTCTCATCCTTGAAGTCCCACTCCTCTTTACCTGACCATCCTATCTAAACAAACTACTCTCGTTGTTCTTTAACCTTAATGCCTTTCTATTTTCCTCCTGCTACAATCATCTGTGCACTTGTTTTCCATCTATCTGCACTGGGAGATCCATGAAAGGGCAAGGCGTGCCCCTTCCGTTCACTGTTAAATGCCCAGCACTTCACAATGGACGCTCAGTAAGTGTGGCAGAATGAAAGAATGAATGGTAAGATACAGTAAGTGTACCCACTACACTTGAAATGGCTCCTCAAGAGTGTGCTCACCTCTCAGTCTAGGGGACAAGCAGGGCCCCATTCTGACTGCAGTATCCTGAGTATTTACCAAGACAGACTTCTTAAAAACTTAACTATTGTTTAAAAAATAAGAAATGATTTGAGACATAGAGGAATATGCAAACGAAACACATTAAACTGTAACTCTGTACATTACCAACTTTTTCAAAATTACCGTGGAAAAAAGAGAGACACCAAGTCCGACGGGACTAGGTTTAGATCCCAGCTTCACCGCCTAAGAGTTGAGTAATCTTGGCCAAGGTACTCCACCACTCTCTCTAAGACTTTACCCCCTAGAAACAGTAAGCATTAAAAGGGGTAAGAAGTAAAACATGTAACTAAGTGACTGGCATAAAACAGGAACTCCAACAGATCATTTCATTTCTCCTGCAAGGGAAAAACAGTGTGGGAAGGGGGAGAGAAAGGCAACGGGAAAAAGTAAAAGGGTAAGAGAAAGGTCAGGGATTGTTATGGATTGAACTGTGTCCCCCCAAAACTGTGTTGTAAATCCTAACCCCTAGCGCTGTGGCTGTAGTCTTAT